TTGCCCGATGACAGGGCGCAGGCGCAGCAGCTGTCCTGTGGCATGCGTTGCGAGATAAATTATTGCATTTCCGAGGAATGAAGTGGAAACAGTTTGGTTTCTATTTAATGTAGCCAATGCTCAAAGCACTGTTCCGTTTTTGTATAAACAAAATTTAAAGAAAAACTAAACAAATAAGGAAGAAATGGGATTTCATTTTATTCTCTCTCATTCTCTCTCCCGCTCACTGCATGCATTTGAACTAAATTTGTGGCTCCAAATCACGCGTTCAGTTTCGTGTTCCGTTCGCAAGTTCAGGCATCGAACTTTGTTTCACACTAGCTCAATCCCAATGGAACTATGTTCACTATCTACGTATGAATGTATTTCAGCTGCATGTCTGCTGCCTGTCTCGACAATCTGTCAATGGACTCGACTCACTTAAATAGAACGGACGTATACGAATACATATATTTGCATTTCTATTATCGCACGACATCAATGCTTTAAATTAGTTTTCATTATCGACGACCGAAACGAGAAATGCATTGAGGAATTTTTGTTCATGGCAATTGTCATTACAATCGCGAACTGTGTTCAAATTTAGAGGTAAATTGGTTTAGTGCTATTTTATGGACTGGGCTAGATAAGCCCGTAATGAACCAACTTGTCCGCACTTTGTACCCGAAATGAAATGGAAACAAAGAGGGAAAACTATAGGAACAGATAAGTGGGCTTTGAATATATATGTATGCATATCTATCAGGTTTTCAGTGTAATCTAAATTGTTAATTCCATTAGATGGAGGAAAACGTACAGCGGATGTAGCAATAACATAAATTCATATTATCGCATATTGTAAATTGTTATTGCAGACATATTGGAATGATGTCCAGCGAAACAATGACAAATGGACAAATGACATAGGCCGTTGAACTAGGAATGCCATTAAAGATGGCGTACGTTTTAAAGACATTCCATTGAGTCTCATATCAATGCGATTCTTGTAGCATTCCATAAAACAATTCGATCTTATCGACCGCCCACAGTATTGACTCATACTCATACGTAGAACCAGTATCAGTTCCAATTGCAGTTCCATACGCAGAACCAGACAATTGGCAAGCAGCTGCCAGGGCTGAAACCTTGCAGCTGCCCTGGAATGCCTCGGCGCCTTTCAATTGAATTAGAAAAGCAACATCAATAGAAAACCCAAAAAAGAAACAAAAAAAAATTGAACTAAGAACCAGCAACATTCAAAAAGGGGTGGACCGAACAAAGTCGTTCCTAGCTTGGCACGAGTTGACACTCATTGTTGCCAGAGGCAACTCGAGTTACCTATATGTTGTACGTGAATATAACGGAGGGGTTGTAAAGCCTATTTCAACTGGGGCCTTTATAAATTAACTTTCGCTGTGTGCATTCTAAAATGCTTATTGAGTTCATTTACGCTGCACAGTGGTGCTGCATAGATAAGAAGCAATGGTCAGCTATTTTATTTTTGACTATGCGTCACTTTGGACTTGGTATTCGGACAAGTGACAACAGCTGTCAAATATAGTTTTTTCAATATTTTTTTTTGGCGGTAGAGTCCGGTTTCACTTGAGACTGTCGCGACGGCAGTTGCTTTAAAATTTGCCAAGTAACGAGATATTTTCGAAAAACAAAAAAATATCTTGATTAGTAACCGAAGATACATAAACATAACTGTGCAGCAGTACAAGTGAAATTTTTTTTTATTTCACAGATACGGAATTACGGGCTATTTAAGGGGCGGTTGACCGCAGTCAAGATCAAGATGGTAACTCTCTCTCTTTCTCTCGCTCGGAGCCTCTATCTAACAACAGTTATATACTTACACATAAACACATACACAACCGAGGAAGCTACAAATCAAACAGTGTAAAGACGCAACAATAAAAAAAGAAACGAAATGCGCGCCAACGCCTCAGAGTCAACAAAAAAGACGCTAAAGATGTTGGGCAAAGCAAAAGTATGTTGAAAAAATGTAAAAAGATGAGCGTAGGTAAATGAAGGGATGAGCAAAGCAACGGTATGCACAGCCAAGCATCTCCCACACAAGCACACACACATACACTCTCTGACCAATATAAATCATTTGTGTGGGAGCCCTTATGAAGGTTATTTGTTCATGGCTCAAAATGAAAAATAAAATATAAAATATACCATAAAACAACAGAATATGTTTGCTGCGACGACATCAACAAATTGAAATCAACAAATATGACCCAGAAAGTAAAATATACAAAAAAAAAATGCTGAAGGTGAAATCAAGCAGAGAGAGCCAGAGCAAGACAGAAATCAATACAAACAAAAAAAATCCAAAACCACAGTCGCAGACTTACTGAGCTTAATTATTTCTATAAGTTAAGCATAGCTTTAAAATAAAGAGTTAAAAGCCTAGCTAACATTTTGGGGCTTGTAAATATGCGCAAGTATAAATAAATTTTTCAATTGGCTGACGCAATTTTCGAGCTTCCACCAATACATTCAAAGCTTAAGCATTGGTATTGGTATAAGAATACAAAGCGAAAACCAAATGGGAACACGAACATAGCTCACACACAACAAACTCTTTGTTTGCGCACTGCGAGTGTATATGTTGAGAGAGCTGGAGAGAAGCTAACGATACACTTTGGAATTGAAACACTTCCACTGGTTGGATCTCTCTCGCTCAGTGCTTCGCTAACATTAAACGACAATAAAACTACTATTGCACTTACTACGCACTATATAAGGTTAATTCGAAATGCATAGAATGGTGTATTGCATTAATTAAATTATTCGATATAATTATTGTGCGTAAATCTTTGGACAACTGTACTAGTGGGATACCAGCAGTTTCTCTTTGTCTCTCTCACAACCAACCTATGAATAGCAGCTCCACTGTACCACTCACACATGCACACACAGTCATATATGTATAACACTTATGCTCGAACAGCTGGGAGACGAATTGAGAGTTGAAACAAACACGTAAATTGTTTCTACAATTTTTTTCATATCTGCTTTGCATTTAAGTATGTGCGAACACAGATGTAACTGTGTATGTATATATACACTTACAATAAAACACAATTGACAAGGAACACACAAATTAGGCCGTTTTCTGATTTAACGCAATGAAATTGTTGCAATTTTTTTTAATAATAGTTATGCTTACGTTTTTACAGCCATTTTGTTGTTTTTATGTTGCGCAGGAATGTTTCGAGATGAGTTAGTTACTTGAGAATCTTGGCGAAAATTTGATTATTGCACTCAAAAAATAAGTGTACAGTTTGAAGTTGGTTCTTTTTAACTATACTAAGTTCTTTGTTGTTAACTAATTTGTACTGCAAACATGTATCACAGTGAACTTGTTGTTTTTGTCATAGTCTCTCGGTTAAGCCAACATTTTTCATATTCTTTGCAAACAGTTTGTGGATCGATTTTTCCCACGCACTAATTTAAAAGTGGTAGGTTTTTCCCATCAGCTGCACATCTTTACTCTGTTATTGTTTTCTTAGTTACGATACTTAAGTAAAGTTAAATATACATTTGATCTTGCATGTATTTAAATGAAAATCCAAAATATAACACAATTTGTTAATGCAAAATCTCACACACACATTCAAATACAAACACACGCGCACTCGCTCAATTACAGTCCAAACGGTACTTTACTTTGTTGCTTCCAAATGTAAACTGACGTTTCAAACAGAGGCGAAAAACATACATTGGCAACCCAATGAATATGTTGCCTCACTCGTTCAAATGTTGCCTCACTCGTGTTGCTACGAAATGAACGCAATGGAAAGAGTAAGCAGATGTTGCTCAGTCGTTCTGAACTGCTTTGGCCCGAGTTGAATATGTTGAGAAACATTCAGTGCAGTATTTAAATACTGGAAATTTGACTAAAATATGTACTTTTTAAGAAAATTGAATTGCCACTTGTTAGAGGTTGACTTTCTTTGGTACACTGGCAATATTGCAATAGTCAAGGTGGCAGCCTCTTAAAGCGCGGCTCGTTTAAAATTGATAGTAAAATTACATCAAAACATTGAAAATGAAATCAGATTAGTATAAATTGAACAAGCATATTTCAATTCATTATCTTTCATACTCTATTTTATCAACTTTTTAAATTATGAAATATATAATATTTTTCAAATTTTATTATGAATTTTTCCGATAACAATTACAGAATCATATTTACACGGTATATTTATGTTTATCTCACATAGTTTGTATACATTTTCACAAACTATTGAAAATAATTTTCTATTTTTTATCTGTTGCTAAGCAGTTTAGTGAATGAACCAGTGGGGGCGGGGAGAAGAGAATTTTGCTATTTCACATACACTCATTCACACATACACGTAAATATGCTTCAGTATATGTGCTTCCAGAAACTTGCAGCAACAAGCTTCACACATAACTACTCGCTAGATTACCAGGTTTATTGAACGTAAATCTGTAATGTGAGTCTCCATTGACTACTTAAATTGTAATATAAATAATATTCAATGAAATTAAGAATTGCAAAGTAAAAAAAGCAATAACCTTCGGTTTAAAATTTCGTCACAGGCACACACACACATAAACACACGCACACTAGTAATCTTATTGGAAGAAACGCGTGGCGTAAGGCACTCGGCAAACTCAGTTAATTTAACGCTAACAAAGTCGTTTTTGCATTATTACACAGTTTTTAATTAGTAATATTAATAATTTTTTTAAATAACTTACCCGGATGCCTCTGCGTTTTAATCAGTATTTGTCTTCTTTTTTCTGAACTGCGACACGACCAAATATATGTAAATATCTAAATGAAATGAGCTGTCGAAGGGCTGGCAAGCAGCCTGCCGGACGATTCAGTTCTTTTGAACCAGTTGCGAATGAACCTCAAATTGCTGTTCCAAGAAAGGCTTGCGAGTTTAAATAGGGGTTTTTTGAGTGTTCGTTAATTTTATATATTTTGAAAATTGAGATTTTGCTAAGTTTAATAATCGACTTCAGATTAAAAAAAATTCCGACAGTAAAATTTCAGAAATCGTAATGTTAAGAGGGGCTGTTAGTATTATTTATGGTATTTTTTAGACTATAAATAGATAAAGGCAAGATAATCTTACGATGCAGTTGTCATTGACAAATTGAAAGTCAAGGTGCGTTGCCTGCATTTTACTGTATCTTTAATCAAAATGAGTTTTAAAGCACAACCGAAAGGTTTCGCCACAAAGTCCATACACGCTGGCCAGGATCCAGAGCAGTGGAACAGCGCCTGTGTTATACCGCCCATCACATTGAGCACGAATTTTAAACAGGATGCACCAGGAGAGCATCGGGGCTATGTTTATTCGCGAGGTGGCAACCCCACGCGCAATGTCCTGCAGCAGTGCCTGGCAGCGCTGGATAATGCCAACTATGGTTTGACCTTCTCCTCCGGCCTGGGCGCCACGACCGCTGTCCTGGCCATGCTGAGCCATGGCGATCACATAGTGATGGGCGATGATGTATATGGCGGAACAAGTCGTCTGGTCCGCCAGGTGGCAACGCGTTTTGGTCTAACGGCCACATTTGTGGATGCCACCCAGTTGGAAAGTTTCCGTGCAGCTTTCAAGCCGGAAACGAAGCTCGTTTGGCTGGAATCGCCAACAAATCCGTTGATTAAAGTCGGCGATATTAAGGCTCTGGTGCAGATCAGTCGGCAAATGGGCAAGGATGTGATTGTTGCCGTGGACAACACTTTTCTCACCTCCTATTTCCAACGGCCCCTCGAACTGGGCGCCGATCTGGTTTGCTATTCCCTGACCAAATACATGAACGGCCACACGGACGTCGTCATGGGCGGCATCACAATGAACTGCGATAAGCTCCATGGCAGATTGAAATTTTTGCAAAACTCAATGGGCATTATACCGTCGCCCTTCGATTGCTATCAGGTGAATCGCAGTCTGAAGACCTTATCGCTGCGCATGCAGCAGCACCAAGCGAATGCACTGCAAGTGGCAAAGTTTCTGGAATCACATGATTTCGTGGAGAAGGTTCTACATCCCGGTTTGCCCTCGCATCCACAGCACCAATTGGCACTGACTCAAACGTATGGCTATAGCGGCGTCTTCTCCTTCTATATCAAGGGCGATCTGAAGCAATCGCGAGCCTTTCTGAAAGCTCTGAAAGTCTTTACCCTGGCCGAGAGCCTGGGTGGCTATGAGAGCCTAGCGGAGCTGCCCTCTATTATGACCCATGCCTCGGTGCCCGCCGAGGATCGCAAAACCTTGGGCATTACGGATGCCCTGATACGCCTCTCAGTGGGTCTGGAAGATGCCGACGATTTGATCGCTGATATTAAAAATGCCTTGGATGTCGCAGCTAAAGCTTGACTTCAATAACCTTAAGATTATAGTATTTCATATATGTTACACTCCTTTTTGTTTATTAAATGAAGCTATATATTTTCTATGATCAAGGTATCTATTCAATATTATAAACTATTCAATTGTAGTCAATAAAAGAGATATTTTTGAAATTTTTTAAAATCTGCAAGCTCAGATCTGAACTTCATAATATTAAGTCTTGTGATTGGGTACATTAATATCAATTTTTATATAAAAAGCAGGTTTTTTTGACAGGTGTTTCTATAATATATGATATTCTATACCATAAACACAGACATATATTTATTTCAAGAAAAAACTTAATTTTTATCTAGTGTATTCTATGCTTTATAAACTATAAGATATATTTAGCATATTTAGTCTTTAGGTTGGTTTAAAGAAGCTCAAAAGTGTAGCTTTTGTTAAATATCTCTTTAAAATATACGATTTCTTATTAAACAAAAGAAAATCAGATTTAATCAAATGGAAGATACTTATATGATATATAATATAGCAAATTATCTTAAGCGAAACTTTGATCTAAATATTTATATAATTTTTAAATGAAAATATGAAAGATAATCTGATAATATTATAGCAATTAAAATATAAATATGATATTTAGCTGACAAATGATGTAATCAGAATAGCTCTAGATATATATATATATATTTAGATTATATGATCTATAGACAAAAAAAACTCTAAAGGCTACGATAGCTGATCGAATTGCTCTATAAACTAAACAAATTATTTTGAGACTACGTATACGATTGTATACATACATACATATATATAAATATATATATGTGTATATAGTATATGATATACATGTAGACAAGACTAGCTTGGAGCTTAGTAACTATGTATATGTATGATTTATGCTCTACGTAAATAGTTTATTGTGCGCTATAATGTGGTCCTGGCGTGGGCACGCTTTTTAAAGGCGAATCGAAATCAGCGGGCGGCTGATCCAGTATGGTGGGTGTGGCGGCGTCTGGTGTTACAGGTGTGCCAATGCGCTCCTGCAGCGTCTCGTATAATTTGTGTATGTGCTCATTGTGCGCCGTCGTTGGCTGCATGGCCTTCATCAATGTCGCCAAGCGACCAGCGGGCAACTTGTTGTAGATGTACCAAAGCAGCTTCAGCATGTGTCTGGAGGTGACATTCTCGCGGGTCAAGCCGGCGAAAATGAACTCATCGAAGAGTGTGGTGCAAAAGTCTTCGGTGGCAAACTCCTCGCTCATGGGTATGAGTAGAGCGATCAACGAATGCAGGAAAGGATCCTCATAGGCACGATCATCCTTGCAGGCAGACAATATGGCCAGCACTCGCAGTACGCCGACGCGATCCTTGACCCTAGCCGTGTGTAGCGTATAGTACATGGCCAAAATACTGGCAACCGAGCTCTCTTGAATGTAGGCCTCTACGGCGTCCGGCGCCGGACCCGAATGTTCAATGGTCGTCAATGCGGATTCACGCTCATCGGGCGGTAGCTTGCCATGCAGACTCCGGCACTGATCGTCCACCATGAGCGACATAAGCGCAGGCAGAAACTTGGTCACCACCTGGTTATCAAGCTTCGGCTCCTTAAAGTCCTGTGTATCGATCATGAACCAGGCGCTTAACCCCAATGCCAACATGCGTAGTAATAGAATCAAAATTTGATTATCTCGCGGCATGCCCTCATTGTTGATCAGATGATTCAGAATCTTGATGGCCGAGGTGGCCAGAAAATTGATGGCATACGGATCGCACAGAGTCATCGAGAGATCGCCCAACACCTGCTCCTGGCCCCGCTTGATGTTATCCAGAAATCCTTGAAGTTCCCTCGACCGTTTGATATCCACATTCTTCTCCCGAATGCAAGCGTCCAGACACCACGTAAACTTGTGACACGGATCAATCGAGATGATCTCCTGAACCTCCAGATCGTGAAGCGCCATCAACAGTTCCGCCCGCAGTGTACAATAATGAACATTGCGTGTGCGCAAGAAGAGAGTGCGCAGAAACTGGAGCACCATATCATAAAGCTTCACGCTATTGCCAATCATGTTGGCTAGCTTTTGGACAACTTCGCCCTGCCGACGCACTTTCGGCGTGGGCTGGAAGAACAAGTTATTCAGATTGGTATGATCAAATAAAATGTGCTCCTTTTCACGAATATATTGCGAGAGTAGCGGAGACACCTCATCACCAAACAGCGATTGGTTATCGCGCCATATTTGCCGCTTGACTTCGGTGTCCGTGTCCGCATAGAGTTCGCGATCGCGCATCAAAACACGCAAGTACTTGTCATCGATGTGCTGGGTATTCCGGAGTATGGCCATCACAACAGGACGTAAATACTTGACACGTACCACGGGAAAACTCTTGACCAACAGATCTTTGAGTTTCTTTTCACGTTCACGTGGATCCTTCTGGCCTAATTCGTTAATGTGCGCGATTAGCTTGTCGCGCAGTTCCTCCATAAGAGATGTATGAAAATCCAGACGTCGCACGCCGTGCAAATCCAATAAAGGCAACATCGGTCGCAGGGAGGGTAACAAAACACCATTTTCCAGTTGGAAACTTTCGATAGCTTTCAGTGGATCCGTGCATGAGGTGAGTGCTTCGCGTAGAAATGCCTGACCCGGTATATTAACATCCTCCAGTCCGGTGCCAGTGCTTTTTGCAGGCGTGCTCATTTTTTTACCAACAAAACAAATTATTGTCTGTTTCAGTCAAATAGCAAATGGCAGATTGTGAAACCAGGGCTGCTCTAACTACCAAGTGTTAGGAATGTGCATTATTCCCGGTTGAACACTTGGATGGGTGCGTGTCCTATCGCTAACTTGTTTGACAATGATTTATGATCCAAGTTTTTAAAACTACATACAATTTCTTTAATATATAAATATTTATATACACTTTAATAATTTTATATTATTATCAGTCAAATTTTTCTATATTCATCTTATTTAAATATATATTTTTTTTTTCGTTATGTTTGCGATTTGTGCGGTGTCTCAATTTCCAATCAACAGTGACTCTGACGGGTACCCGTTACACATAGAAATAGCACCCATCTCTAAAAAGAGCATAAGAACAGAAAAGCAAATTGGGTGGAAAACTGGCTATAGATGTGCGGAAAATTATTTAGTGCAATTTAGCAGTCGAGTATTAAAAACGCTGTAATTAAGATAAATTATAAACAGTGCAAGGCAATAGAAACAAATTTATAAGTTAAAAAACACCACTCGCTAAGTGCGTGTGAGTGTATATGTCTGCGTCTGTTGCTGCTGCCGGACGTTCAGTCATAGAAGAAGTGGCAAGAGCAGAGGAGAGCAGAACGAATGAGTGAGGAAGAAGAACTTCTAGCTGCAAAGAAAAGCCTTGCTGTTGCCATAATTACGGTAGCTTTGTGGGAGTTCAAGTTTAACAGCGCGCGCCTCTAAGTGTGTGCGTGCGTGTGTGTGTGTAATCAATTTCGATGTGTGCGTAACACCCCCAAAGGCGCTCTCTTTAGCACAAGTTGTAAAGTTACAACAACAGCGAGAACAACAATAACAATAACTGCTTGTCAGCAGGAACAAGGGGAAAAGAGAGGAGAGACTGCCGTTCGCTGACTTGTCGTTTGTTTTGTGCGCACATTCGCGTGCTTCTCTTTGTTTCGGCTGGGGCGCTGCGCTTTATTATTTTTTATTTTTTGTGAGTGCAACGCTAGCGGCGAACAGCTTCGCTTTGTGGCCATCAGCTGGATACGGATTTTGTGACGGCGGCGAGACCAACAACGCCGAAGTGGATGCACATGCACGCGGTGGCCTGGGCATTGCCCAGGACTTTGGCATGGCCGGACCGGCCGCTGGTCCGCCGGCACATATGTATGGCGCCATAGCGCAACAGGACAGTAAGCGCAAACCTATTATTATATGTGCCTCTATTATATGATACGATCTCTCCCTTTCTCTTTCGCTCCCAAAGTAATTGTTCGGGATATGGTGCAAATGCCACCGCCGCCGCCGTCGAATGCGCCCACATCAGCGGATGCTTGCCTGAGCATCGTCCATTCGCTAATGTGCCATCGGCAGGGTGGGGAGAGCGAGGGCTTTGCCAAGCGCGCCATCGAGTCGCTCGTTAAGAAGCTGAAGGAGAAGCGCGACGAATTGGATTCGCTGATAACAGCAATTACCACGAACGGCGCCCATCCAAGCAAATGCGTCACCATACAGCGCACGCTCGACGGCCGACTGCAGGTGAGCGTCAGCGTCAGCGCCAACAACAACGTCGGCGTCAGCGTTAGCTTCAGCTTTAGTTTCAGTGCCGCCTCTTATCGCCCGGCGATGTGTGGGGTCTATATGTTTTTATACCCTGCACCCATTCATTATGTGTAAAAGAGGTATATTGCAGTTGTAGCCATTTATGTAACAGGGAGACTAATTGAGGACTAAGTTTCGTTTTCCTTAAGCAGAGAGTCTATAATATTAAGTGCGCAGTAAAGATATAAATTATAATAGCCCAAAACATGCTCATATATCAAAAGTATATCAAGTGATAGCTTATGATCGATCGATAAATATCAAGTTGACCCAATAACGATTAATTTTGAGTCTAGTTATAGATCATATCTGAATTTTAACTAATATTTCATTGCATTTGTTCCCAACCATAGATCGAATTGATTGCCCTTTTGCTGAAGAGCAGGGTATTTTAAAGTCATGCACCCTGTTTAAATGTACTTTATGTGTTTTGTTTGTTTACGTTGTGGCATTTCCGGTTGCGATATGCGACGCGTATACGTGTTTACTATTTCATTCGATTCGAATTGATTTTAATTTAATTTTCTTTCGTTTTACGTTTTCCCGACTCTTCGCGGACTACAGGTGGCCGGCCGTAAGGGCTTCCCGCATGTGATCTATGCACGTATCTGGCGCTGGCCAGATCTTCACAAGAACGAGCTGAAGCATGTTAAATACTGCGCCTTTGCGTTCGATCTCAAGTGCGATTCGGTCTGTGTGAATCCCTACCACTACGAGCGCGTCGTCTCGCCGGGCATCGATCTGTCCGGCTTGAGCCTGCAGTCGGGACCCAGTCGATTGGTCAAAGATGAATACTCAGCCGGCTCTCTCGTTGGCAGCATGGACATCGATGGCAACGATATTGGCACAATACAGCATCATCCCACGCAAATGGTTGGTCCGGGCGGCTATGGCTATCCGCCACAGGGTCCCGGACCCGGTGAATACGGTACGGCCAGGCATTATAGTAGACAAACTATATGCATTCATATTTCTGAAACTATAGCCATGTAGAGATTGTTGCTACATTTGGTTTATGTTGCTTATGTTGCTTATTTTCCATTTCATTTGCTATATTTTGGTTTTATTTTCATTTTCGTTTTCTGTTGATTTCGTAGTCACCGACGCTAATCAAATGAGTGCAATGTTTGCTGCCGGTCGTGCAATACCAAAAATTGAGCCAACGGATAGCGGCGGGCCTGTGCGCAGTTCGTGGATGTTGCGGCATCCGCCACCGCCGCAGCAGCAACAGCAGCAGCAGCAGGCGGCTCCACAGCAGCAGCCACAAACCCAATCCCAGCCAGCGCCGCACGCACTTTGTAAGAATTTTTCGTTGCTGAAATTTGGGTTTCTTTTTTTGTTACATATTTTGCTCCTTAAGTTTTAAGATTGATTGACATTGGAATTTTTGCATTACAGCCGTACCTCATGGCATGCCGGGCATGGGTGCCATGAATCCTGGCTCCGGTCCCGTTATGGCGCCCCCACCCCCGCCCACACAAGCACAGAGCGCACAAGGTAACGGCGTACATCATGCCCAGGCCAGCTCACCCACAGATCCTGGCACGATGGCCATGCAGCAACAGCAACCGCCGCCGGGTGGCGGACCCAACGGACCAAATGTGGCCAACAATTCAAGTGGAGGAGCTGCTGGCAGCGCTGGTCAGTACTATGGTGCGCCGCCTGCGGGCGCACAAATGCAAAACGTGGGCAACGATGTTAGCAAATTTAGCAACAGCGGTAACAGTGGCTCCGGACCAACCCCCGTGCACGCCCAGCAACAGAATGGCTATGTACCGCAGCCAAGCAGCCAGGGAGCTGGCGCGAATAGCTACGGCGCCTCCCAGCCTCCATCCGCACAACAACAGGCTTCAGCTGGCAATCAGCCAAATGCGGGTGGTGCTGCACAGGCCAGCGGTGGCGCTGGTGGCGGTGGAGCAGCTGGCACCTGGACGGGACCCAATACACTCACCTACACACAGTCCATGCAGCCGCCTGATCCGCGCTCCTTACCTGCCAGCTACTGTACGTGCAAAGAGCAGTGTTTAAAGATTATTACCTTTGCTAATTATTTATTCTTTTTTTAGGGAGTACGTCGATGCCTGGCGATCTGGCCTCGCCGCAACAGGCGCCTCCCCAGCAACAGCAGCAGCAACAACAGCAACAGCCACGTTTGTTGTCCCGCCAGCCGGCGCCAGAGTACTGGTGTTCCATTGCCTACTTCGAGCTGGATACGCAGGTCGGCGAGACTTTCAAGGTGCCCTCAGCCAAGCCCAATGTAATCATCGACGGCTATGTAGATCCCTCGGGAGGTAATCGTTTCTGTCTCGGCGCGCTCAGCAATGTCCATCGCACTGAACAGTCGGAGCGTGCTAGGTAAATAGTTGGCCTTCATAGTACCTCAAATTGTTATTAATATGTATAATAAATTGTCAGGCTACACATTGGCAAGGGCGTGCAGTTGGATCTGCGCGGCGAGGGCGATGTCTGGTTGCGCTGTCTTAGCGATAATTCTGTGTTCGTACAAAGCTATTATTTGGATCGCGAGGCGGGTCGAACGCCGGGCGATGCAGTGCACAAGATCTATCCAGCTGCCTGCATCAAAGTAAATGCTGTTACTAATCAAAGGAAACTTGAATTTATAACTTTTTAATTGTTAACAGGTTTTCGACTTGCGTCAATGTCATCAGCAGATGCACTCGCTGGCCACCAATGCACAGGCCGCTGCAGCAGCCCAAGCGGCCGCCGTGGCGGGCGTTTCCAATCAGCAAATGGGCGGCGGCGGCAGAAGTGAGCGGGACATGTCTCAAAGCTTAGTTAACAGTTAGCTAATATATATTTATTTCTGTTGCAGGTATTACTGCTGCCGCTGGCATCGGTGTGGATGATCTGCGTCGTTTGTGCATATTACGGCTGAGCTTTGTGAAAGGCTGGGGACCTGATTATCCGCGCCAATCTATTAAGGAGACACCCTGCTGGATCGAAGTGCATTTGCATCGCGCACTGCAGTTGCTCGATGAGGTGTTGCATGCTATGCCCATCGATGGAGCCGCTGCTTAAAGTCGGACCACACACAAACAAACACACCCATACACACAAGCATATTTATTATTCATAGCAAGCAGCACACCACGTCTAAATGTTAGTTTTAAGCATAAAGTTTGAGCAGCTATCGATAAGTTCAAGTTAAGCAAAAGCAAAACAAAGAAAAAAATGGGTATGAAATATTTAGTTTTGATTTGCAATTACGATTTATGAATTATGTTTGCCTTTAATTATTTAATAATAATTTTTATAAAAAATTGAAACAAAACAAAGCGCTGTCAAACATTAAGCCAACTAGTTTTATGTATCATACATACACCCACACAAACACATATATATATGCATATATGTATACATATAAACATTTGATAACTGACTTGGGCAATGCCTTTCCTGCCACATACACTTCGTAAACCCACCCTACCGTATACACACACCCACACACACAGCATTACTTACGCAACGACTACAGCCAGAGCAAAGATAGTGTGCAACATCTTGAAGGCAAGTAAGGCAAAAAAGTAGTTGTAATATAAATGTAATAAACAGCATAAACTTAATTTAATTATTAATGGTGTCAAGAATTTAGATATTTCTCGGCTCTTAGCTGCACCTGTGCATCTAGCCAGGATAGCCAGTCATCCGTTATGAGACGCTCGAGTGTCACTTCGTGGAAGACCTCCACGCGACGCACCTCGTTAAACTGAAAGCTTTTGAATAAACGCAGCGACACGGCATTGTCCATGTCTATCTTGGCTTCGAATTTGCCTAGGGGAAGCTGCTGTTGGGCATATTTCAGCATTAGCAGCATTGCCTCGCGACCATATCCTTTACCACGCGCCTCGGGCGAAGCTATCATTATCTCAGCCTCGGCCACATATTGCTGCGGCTCATCGTCATCTTGGCGCACAAATAGATTTGTATCGCCCAGCATGGCGGCAATCTCATCGTTTGTCTTCGCATAGGTCTCGGCGCACAGCACAATGAATGTAAGCTTGTCAGTGTCCTCGCGCCAACTCCTTTGCATTTCGTACTCCTCCTCTAGCGTCAGCTCTTCGGATGCTGTCAGGCTGCGCAGTGTGGGACTGCTCATCCATTCGTGATATTTAGGAACGTGTCGGGCCTCGTAGGGCACCAGCACGACGCGTTGACCAATTAGTTTCGTGTGCTCATTTAAGCGCATTGTAAATTAGAGAAATGCGAGAATCCAATGCAGCATCCCGTACTTTTTGTAAATATTTAACAATAAGCAATAACAACAACAATAGCAATTGAAACAGCTGAGCTTTAATCGAATCATCGAAGCAATATATCGATATTTACAATAGTCGCAGCGTTGCCAGATAACCACAAGACAGCTGATTCCCGCGAACGACGCGAATCGTTGAGAAAAATAAGTAAACAACTCGTTTAATTTGGAAAATGATTTGAAAAATGTCGACACGCTGTCGTACCTGTGGCAAGATTATTTACTGTGTGAACGCAAAAAATTTATTCCAACAGCCCGATAACATTATGCTACATCAAATTGCTGCATTAACTGGAATTTTTGTACGCATGCAATTCAACTCAATATCGAGTGAACAAATTTATATTTTGTTTATATTTTTTTATAGCTAACCGAAAATATGGAATTTCCTGCACATATTTGTGGTCCCTGCGAAGTGGCATTACGAGAAGCGATCGTGTTTCGCGAGCGCATTATAAAAACCCAAAAGGTGCTTTTAAGCAGCAGCAGCAACATTGTGGAAGCGTATCAGAAACTCGACTTGGATGAGGTGGATAATCTAGAGTTGGAGGAAGACACCGAAGACACTGAGCTACCGACGTCGTACGAGGAACCTACGGAATATGACGTCTATGGAGAAAATGACAATCTGCAGCAGCTAAATGAGGCAAATGATGATGGACATTCGGAAGAGTCTGGACAGCATGTCGAGATTGATGAGGAACCGACTGCAATTGCTCCAGATCCAATGCCCAGTATACCACGCAAACCAGGCAAGCCACCCTCTAAGCTCTATGCAACTGTGAACTTTGCAACGAACGCAAGGAATACACCTCGCATCAACTGGAGCAAGCTGTCGGAGGAGGAAATCGTCGCACTCAAGCGCGAGCGGCGTAAAAGGGATTGCATCTGCGAGCTGTGCGGCCGACACTTCACCTGCCCCAGCAATTTCAAGGTTCATCTGCTGCGGCACACAGGCGTAAAGAATTTCAACTGCAAACAGTGTCCCCTGAAGTTCTACACACCGCACTTGCTGCGGCGCCATGAGCTGGCACATCTTTGCGAGAAGCCCTATCCATGTCAGTACTGTGGCCAAACGTTTGCCGATCACAGCGGAAGGATTCAGCATGAACGCAAGTAAGGGCAAACAGTGTGTTTCCTTTATGAATCTCAATTGATTTTGTTGAAATATTTCACAGCCGTCATACAAATTATCGCCCATACAAGTGCACCAAATGCGAAAAGGAATTCGCGGTTAGCAACAAGCTGAAGAGGCACATGCTTAGCCATTCTGGCGTACGAAGTTTTCCGTAAGTAAATCAGCTGGGCTGCAAGGCAAAAATAATCAATACATAGTGAACTAAGCAAAGCGACTGCCAATGATCGCAGTTACAAGTGATCCCATGATGCGTAAAGTAGCTCCCATTCTGATATCCTAAGCTTCATATACCTGTGTATGCAAGTATGGGTGTATAAAGTACGCGAATCCCAGCTTGCATTGATGTTTTAATCCTTTATCCTTCCGAACATGTTAATTAAAAAAGTATTTTCTTAACTTTTCTATAGCTGCGACATATGCAAAGTATCCTTCATGCGACGACCGCACTTAAATGCTCATTATCGCTCCAAAGGACATGAGCAGAATGCACAAAACTTCACAGACCTGGCTAATGCTGTGGATATCGATATAGAAAGTGTCTTGCAGTGAAAGCTATTCCTAATGGAACTTAGTTTGTAAGTTCAGTTGAAGAATAACTAAGCTTAACTAGACTTAGTTTTAGTACAATTTATTAAGAGGAATTTATTATTGGCATGTAATTTAAAGCATTGATTAAATATACTAACCAAGAAGTCTTTATATGAAATAAGTATACCTTTAATATTAATAAAATTATGAACAAAAAATTGTAAAGTCTCGAATAGTTCGAATTTCCCGCCCTCTGTTCTATCAGGTAGAGATTAATTCAAGTCTAGATTAAAAAGCATAGTACACATAGTTTTCAAGTCGAAGATATTTATAGCATAGTATGCATATACATATATATTCGTGTAGATTGTAACATAAGGAAATCGTAACAGCTCAAAATGAATTCTATGCACATCTTGGACATGCCCGACGACTGCTTGCTCATGGTATTTCACAATCTGGATTTGATGAGTCAGTGTAACTTTGCGTTCACCTGTGCGCGATTTAGAGTGATCTACGACATGGTTTATAAGCAGCATTTCCGTTGTTTCACGTGGTACGAGCCCACGAACCATTGGACTACGCTGGAAGTAGAGGAGTTCTTTCAGCTGAACGGTCATAAGATGCGCATGCTGGCCGTATCGGATTTGCAAGAGAAATACTTTGAGCTGCCGCTGATTAGCAAGGCCAATCATATGATCAATGTGTGTGTATATCTCAAAAATCTGCAATCCCTGATATTATCCATAGATCATAAGCTTGTCGATATTATTATTGAAGTATGTAAGCATTTGCACAAGTTGGAGAATCTTGTGGTCGACTGTGCCTCCCATCCCAATTATGAGTTTCTCGTTCTGTTGCCATGTCTGAAGAGCTTGGATATTAATTATTTTGTCAACCCCCATGACAAGGTATTCCAGAGATTCGCTGAGCTACGTCCAGATGCCTTAGAACATGTGCGCATTGGCTCGGAAATCACGATGAAGCAGGGCAAGTATATTGCACATCTGCGTCGCCTTACACTGTTGAACGTCTACAATCCCTGCTATCATTTCTTCAACGGAGTTGTCCTTCAGTTGCTCAATTTGCGAGTCCTTAGCATAACGTCTGCCCAAGAATTGCGATGGCATGATTTCAGGCATTTGGTCATGCATCTTACGTTCCTTTCTACTTTATACATTATTCAATGCTCAGATATAGGCAACGAGTTTATATTATTTGTTATTCAACATTTAAATGCGGAAATGGAGCGATCAGTCAATTCCCGTCGCTTGCCTTTTCATTTGGAACTGTCCGAAACTAGCGTAACGGATGATATAAACGAGGTAATGTTTCTGTTTATTCTTGTTAGACTATTAGAGCTCAACTGAATTTTGCAGATTGAACCCATTAAGTCATCACATTCGCTACTCAAAGTTGTTCTGGTTGGTAATCTTCACTTAATTATTATCTGTTACACTAATTTAAAATAAAATGTTTCGCGCCTTAGAAAAACATGGAAAATTATGCTAATTAGAATTGTTGGCGGCTAAGCGATATACGATTAACTTTTAAAAGTTGGAAAAGGGAAATATGAACAAGGTATCAAAACTCAAAGTCAGACTCCTAATTGAAATCAACTTATATCGGAGCATGATTAACACGTAACACAATATATTTTTTAAAACATATAATTATATATTTTGTACGTTGTATTACTTATTAATAAAAAACATAGAAATTCTATGTTTACATTCCAATTGGTAGTACAGGGAAATTTTAACAACTTGGCAGCACTGGCAAACATTTTAAACAGCTGCTTGTTGGCAGAGTCTCAGCGTGGCCAATAACTCGAGTTTCACTTAAAATCTGTGGTTCATTATTTAATTAATTAAAATACAAATTAATAATTTAAAATATTGTATTGCAGTAAGCTGGAAGTAGTTTAGTAAGCTTTGAATTGGTTACCTTTGAATATGAAGCGCCTTTATGATAATTTAATGAATTAGCAGGGAAATCTTAGCAATACGGCAACGCCGTTACCGATCAGCTGTCTTCTTTAACAAAATGTCTGAGCGTGTCCATCGTGTCGGCATTTAATACATTTTTGTAACTTATTTTTATAAAACTAGTACACGCATATATAAACATAATTTATTATTAAAATAAACAGTGAGTCAGTCAGGCTAAGCAACTTTTGCCTTGGTGTTTTGTTCAGTACAGAATCCATTGCGAAAGCAGCTTCTAGATCGAAGCCGGCTACCGAAAATTGCAACAACAAAAATATATACTGCAAGAAAGAAAAAAAATAATGAAAACGTGTTATGCTGATGCATGCTCTAAATATGATGTGAAGTGCGTTTGAAATACGAGCAGAGAGGAGCGAACCCTCGGCGACAAAGCGAACGATTGAGTTTTCTAGCTTAACCAATGTGGCACCTCCAATGAAAAATCAATTCGAAATCGTTGGATGTTCTCAGTATTGGTTATTGGCCAGAAGAGCTCAAACACAGCTATAAGAAACCAAACAATAAAACCCATGATATAAACTCTTAAATTAAATAACATAGATTTTAAGCACATACATATATCAAATGGCAGAGACTAAATCAAAGCAAGCTGAAGAGCCAGGACTTATGGCGCCACAGACCCCATGCAAGCGTTTGCGTTTGGACGAGGAGGAGCAGGCATTGAAGGTGGCTGGTTTCTCGCTCAGCGCCATTGAGGAAATGCGTCAGACCCGTGATGCTGAGCTACTCTCCGAGCCAATGGATCAGCAGCTTAGACAATTTCAGGTGTTGGACGAAGTGGGCACTGCCAGCGATGATGATGAATCAGGTAAGCGATAAGAATACACCGAGAGATTTACTATATGTAGAAGAGCAGGCCTGTGTGTTGACTATCCAGGGCACATTTTGTTTATTCATAAAATTGAAAGAAACAGCTTCTACATGTCTTATCTGTATCATTGTCATCATTTATCATTGTGTAAACAATATGCCATGGAATCTGATAAAATCCATGTACAGTGTAAATCTGTCATAATGAACACATGCCGCACCCTAAGCAGTCTAATTCAAAATTGTCCGCTTGAGTATGCCTTCACTGTAGTTGCCAACCAGATTCACTTTGTGGATGTTTATCGTTAACATTCTTAGCCTGCTCGCAACTGCAGCTCAATGTGAAACTTGTATAAGCTCTTAGCTTAAAAAGATGCGCATGATACCCATTTTGCGCCTGGAGCATCACCAAAGACTAGCGCTTGGATCAGGTTTAATTTATACACTTAAGTCAACTCCTTAAAAACTAATGGTAATTTACATTCCGCAGATGATAACTGCGGCAAGCGACGCGGTGATGATGATGAAGATGGGGAAGACTATGATTCTTCGGACTTTAATGATGAAGAAATTGAAAATCTATTGGACGAAAAGCTGCCCGAAGATCTACGTGAGTCCAAGCGTCCAAAATACGAGCAGCGTTTTAAGACTGTGCTAGAAGGTAAGTGGAATTTGATAGATTATAAATATAAAGCTTGGGTTAATTCCATTTTTATATATTCTATTAGAGAAGCGCCATAATCACTTTGAGGTGCTTCCAGAGGGCTGGGTACAAGTGACTCATAATAGCGGCATGCCCCTCTTTCTGCATCGGAAGACTCGTGTCTGCTCAGCGTCGCGACCATATTTTTTGGGCACTGGCAGTGCGCGCAAGCATGCCGTGCCACTGGGCGCCATACCGTGTCTGAACTATCGACGTGCACTAGACGATGAAGCGGAGGCGGAGCACAAGGGTAACTCGGAGAACACGGCACAGCCTTCTGCAGAGAGTAGCGATCAAGATTCGCCCCCTGGCGTTTGTCCCGTGGCCCATGCCAGCGCACCTGTCGTGCAGCCTATGGAAGAAGACGACAGCGAGAAAAAAGACGAACCTTCTATGGAGCCCAAAGCTGACCAAGCAGCCACTGAAGCACTGCAGGCACTTATACCAGCTGCCAAAATCGTAACCGTCAATGAGAACACACAAAAGGAGTCGGTGACACCGGAGGAGCTGAATACCTACTGCCAGAAACTCTTCCGATTCAAGGAAATACGCGTGCTACGTTTTCGCAGTTGGAATGCACGGCGCAAGTTCACGAAGAATCGGAAGCATATAAAGAATATTCAACGACCAACGCTACCTGATGGCACCAAGCTCATCAAGTTCCCCATTTTGGCGGCCAGCGGTTCGGAGGGTAGTACAAATCCGCGAGGACGCAAAGAGTGGATCATGAATCCCAATGGCAAAAGCTTTGTGTGCATATTGCATGAGTATGTGCAGCATGCGCTAAAGACGCAGCCCACTTATGAGTTCAAAGAGCTACAAAATGCTGCTACGCCTTATTCAGCAACCGTCTCGGTAAATAATCTGAAGTATGGTACAGGATATGGCACCAGTAAAAAGCAGGCCAAGTCGGAGGCAGCACGCGAAACACTGGAGATACTCATACCAGATGTTAAGGATAAAATAACGGGAAACAATAAGGATTCGAAGACAGGCACTGCAAAGAAACCCCAAAGTGATCTATCTGTAAGAGCCTACTGCCAAAACAGTACATATATACAACTAAGAGCTATTTCTCTTTGTCATAGGTCTTCGATGACATTCGCATTGAGGATCCACGCGTCACCGAGTTTTGCAATAAGACTACAGAGCCCTCGCCCAATGCCATTTTGTTGACGTGTCTGCAGCGTAATTACGGTAGCGATGTCCAGATCACCCAGGAGATTAATCGCACGGCTAATAATAAAAACGAATTCACCATGACTGTGGGCAAGCATACGGCCAAGGTGGTCTGCAAGAACAAACGCGAGGGCAAGCAGTTGGCATCGCAGGCCATACTACAGGTAAAAACGTGGCGGCTTACCTGTGTACTTTAATGCAATGCGTAAAAGGGATATCAAGAGTACATAAAGTGATCTATAATTATCCTTAGTTAACATTTAAGAAGGGCTTAGTTTATAAACATTTTCTATAATACTTTATATTTCTAATACTATATATTCTAAAAATCTATAAAAATTTATTGATTGTTTAAATATTTCATAGATAATGCATCCGCACATTCAGACATGGGGCTCGCTATTGCGCCTTTATGGCAACAATTCGATCAAAACGTTCAAGGAAAAGAAGCTGGAGGAACAGGAGATTACTGTGCTGCAGAGCAAGGCAGCTGTTAATCAACCCAACTATGCTATTCTCGATAAACTCAAATCGGAGATGCTAAAACTTAGCGCCAAGCACGAAGGCATCCAAACCAAAGGCACCTTTGTGCCGCCCAGTGATGTGGACCTGCCTTCATCCTCCGGTTCAAATTTGAACAATGTTGAACTATAGTTATATTAAGGCCAATGCATCAACATAATCATCATTGTCGTCATTAAGCTTATTCGATTATCTAACTTGCATGACAAACTTTTCTCAATGTGATCCATCATAATATGACAAAAACAAAAGAAACTGAAAATTTTTGTGTTTAGCTGCAAGACGAGCTACGTATACTCTTTCATGGTTACGACTCTAATTAATTCCACATAATATATTTATATATAATATGCCAAAAACTGAATAAACAAATGTGCGTGTGTCACTTATGCATTAAACGTATTTTATATAGATGCATATACATATATGTAGAAATTTATTTCTATATTTTGTTTTTGAATACAATTATAAATTCTAAAAAGTTTCATTCGATTCAAAATTATTGTTTACATATGAGCGATGTTCACTTGATATTAAGATTATCTAAATTTTACAAAATAAAACATATAGATTAAAATGGAGGGTTTACAGATTCATTTGGAATATTTGAAGCTTTTTATTTGAAGTTAAAAAAGACTGACTTCTCTTAAACTCTAAAAAAATGCCAATAAATTACATTGAAGAGCTAAGAAAATATATATATTTAAAAAATGATATATGTTAACGGCCTTATAAAGATGAGACGACGTTTTGCAGGTGGGTTGCCCAGCAAATTCAAATCCATTTAAAAAATAACAAATTTTCCTTTAAGTGTTTGTTGGTATATGTATGTATGTCTGTATGTATGTGTGTCGGTGTATTAATGTGTGCGTGCAATTATTTAAAAGACAATGCAGCCATAAATTATGCTACATTTTCATTTCATTCTAACGTTTCGTTTTTTATCGCATTCCTCGGACACACGTACACACATACACTCACACACATGCACACACGGCACGCGGCGAGCTGAGACACGCGGAAGCGAATTCGCCGCGCTGGGCAGCACTTTTCACTGCGCAGCCAAAGAGCGCGCAGCATCAACGAAATACGAAAGAAATTTACCGTTTCTCCTTATGCCATCCATCGCCAGTTTCTTCAGTATTTGTTCGTTGCGCGTCGAGTGCTAAACTAGGCAGCTGACCGCTCCAGTGTGCAGTGCCGCCGCCGATTTCCGTATTAATTAAATCACATTTAATTGAAAACAACACACATACACATACACACACACGCATAGTGCGTTGCATCAGGTGCCAAAGACAAAAATTGCGTCTTAATTGTCACACCGTATCTCATATAAATTGCCGTCAATCGTGTGAGTGAGACTTAAGTGTTGCCAGATTTTATGGGCAAAGCGGCATAATAGCTAGCGTTACACGCGTTCGCTACAAATTTGCCAAAAAAAAGTGGGTCTCCCTTAGGCGAGAAGGAAAAAAAATATAAACGGGTATACATTTCGTTGCGGCTGCCGCTGCCCCCAGCCTATATTGTGTTGTTCCATGTATCATCGTGCACACATACACACACGCACACACACATATATATATGTATATAGCATAGCTTTGTGCTTATTGTAGAGTGGTCGCTGCTCGGCCTGCACTATTCCAAAAACAAAAAACATGTAAATTATGTAAAGACGCGTTTTGGAATTTCAGTCAGCCCAAACGTCCGCATCTAAATCACCAATGACTACAATAACAACGCTAGGCTACAACAACAAGGACAACAACGTGAAAGGTAAGCGAAGCGCATCAGGCGCCAAGTGTCAGTCAAATGTTGGAAAATTCAATAATCCGCCAGAGGGCGCCAATACAGTTCCCTCACCCGTTGCTCGCCTCTAACCAACAGCCACACACAAACACACACACACACACCCTTTGCAGCCAATAGCATATCAAATGTATTCGCTTTGCATTCGTTGTCGTCTGTTGCGTCGGCCAAAAACTAGGTTGACTTTGGTTTTCGCCTTGTTGCCAATCCGCGCATTTTCTGTTTTCTGGTTTCGATTTCACTTTCCAGTTAATTTAATCTAAATGCAAGTTCAACAATATGCCATGCTGACACATTTTGCGGCTATTCTTTTAGCTAATTATTCGTGTATTTCATTAACCAATCGATGGTCCGAATCGCAAAGATCGCATTTACTGAACTAGACAAACGGTAGAATATATTAGAATAAATACTGTAGTTAATTGAAAATGAAAGTAAAATGAAATTTCTTATAGGTGTCTTTCCAAACTTCCTTTGAATTGGCTATTTGTCATAGGTTTTCCCCGAAATGTAATTAACGGTCGTTGAACTTTGATCATCGTTTTGTGTTTTTCTAAATCGAAATATTATCAGTCCAGTCAGCTTTACTATAACAGATAGATTATATATCTTTCAGTACAAATCTACATTTTTGATAGCTCACGAGTGCAAAAAATAAGTGGTTGACATTAAAGAAGCTGATAAGATTTGTAAAATAATTTTAGTTTTATAAATAGAAATCTATTTTTAACTAAATAGTCAGGAGAGTGTTTAGGTTTGACTGCTGGAAGGCTGTTCTCTTTTAGAGTTCAACTCTGCTCCGGCTCAGCTTTGTTGTTATTAGCAGTTTGCTCTATTGGTGGCTCTGGCTTCGATTTGGGCTTCTTTCCGGAGATAAACATGCTCTCTAGCACACCGAAAGGTGCCTCCATCATGATGTAGACCACGTAAGACAACAGTAAGACAAAGCCAAAGCCGCTCCAGAAAAGTAGCATCTAACAAGCCGAAATATAAAGTAAATTCTTTATAAGTTAAGATACAACTTACCACATCGTAGTTGGAGAAAAATGTGCCCGTTCGCATGCGTCGACCATTGAGTTGTTGTATGAAAATGTGAAAAACATAGGCAGAGTAGGAGATCCTTGACAGCGGCTGCCACAGCGGACAGGACAGAAAACTATTGGCCAAGCCACCGTAGCCTCTCATGCAGGCAAAGACCACCCAGCACAAGCTGAGCGGCCAAGCTATGCGGGCTAGCGTATAGTAAAGAGCCTCTTCCAGCATATTCAATGGCGGATTTCGATAATTGGCAAATGGATATAGCACAAATATGCACGTGAATATCAAAGCCAAACTGATGATCCAACCCAACCAGACCTTAATGCGATTCAGCTGAAAGTTCTGGCTGCGACTCACATGCAGGAAATATCCAAAGAGTACGCCGATCAGCCAGGGAGCTGCATGTATGTGGGTGGCATAGTAGAGCTTACGTTGAGCGAGGTCTGGAGTGAGGCCAATTCTGTGGAGATAACATTCATTTTAATGTAATTATACATCTTATCATATATTTACTCCATATGAATGGGATATTTCTTAATCATCATTGTGCTGAAGAGGCAAGCGGAGAGCATAAGCATAAAAACAAAGATTCCAGCAGCAGCTTTCTTGCCCCATTTGTACAAGGATATCAGAAATATGGGAGAGAGTATATATAGCTGCATATCCACACCCAAATACCAGCTGTGATTGATGCACTGCAAATGGGGGTTAGGTCAACAGTTGGTTAAGGAAAAGTTAACATATGACGAACTTACCAGATCTGGCGTCGCATAGTTTTGTAGGAACAGTAAAGTCCAGAACCAAGTCTTCTTACAATGATTATAGTCATCGAACTTAATGCTGTTGAATAGAGGGCCATCACCCATAAATGGTAATAGGGTCATATAGACCAGTATGGCCAGAGCCACGACGGGAGTCAGGCGCAAATAGCGATGGAGATACATCATAGGAATATTCAGGTTACCCTTTGTTCTACGATAAAAAACAAATTGGTAATTGATTGATGGCTTTACTTCATACTCACTTTTCGAGAGAACGCATCGAAATCACAACCAGCAGCAGGCCACTGAGGAAAAAGAATGTGTCCACAGAGAAGGCTGCATGTAGCACAAAGCTTGAGAAGGGCTTCTCGAACCACTAAAGAGCCGAAAGCAGAATATTTGAATGGCATCAACTACATTATTTAAGCAATCGTTAACCTTACCCATTTCAATTGATATTGGTTGATATTCGGCGCCATCAAGGCGAAGAGGTATTGGTGGCCAAACAGTACCCAGATGAGGGACATGCAGCGCATGCCATTGAGACAATCGATAACATTTGGATTCGACCTGGGCTGAACGAGGCGAAACAGCACCCGGGAATTGGCGCGTGCTGAAAAGATCTTAATCAAGGCCGGCAGTTGCTCTGCAAGAGATTAAGTGGATTGCAAATAAATATACATGTTCTAATCGAGTTTGATTCACTAGCAAATACTTATATCTAATATTGATTTGAGCTGCTAAACTTGCTTCTGCATGCTTACTCACAGTTTTTAGAACTTCTGAGACTTCATATACTGAACAATTCAGATTTGATACGGCAGCATATCATTTGCATGATTACGAATATTATGATAGTTAGATAAGATAGATAATTAGATAAGCTGTTGTCTATTTCGGGACCATATATTTAGCCTCTCTAAACGAAATGTATGCAGGGTATTTGTAGAATATCGTGATGGCTTTTGCACTTACTTTCATCTTCACAGAAGAAATAATCGTAGATTGTTGTCAAAACGACGGCAGCAAGCAGCAGTGAGAGTATAACACTGTTGAAGCCAAAAAAGTATTTTTTGAATTGAATTTGTAAATATTTGATTGACATACTCACATAGTAAATATAGTTAGACCATCGAGCTCTACCCGCTCGTTTGTTCTGCACGTGGCTTCTGTGACCAAGGGCTTAGTGACTTTGATATTTAATAGTTTCTCCAGCAGTGGCTGTAGAAATTTATTCATATCCGTTGCGGTACAGGAGGCGGGAAAGCAAACAGCGGTCCTTAGACTAATGCCTAGCTTGGCTATGGGCAAGCCAGCAAAACAATATTTGCCCTTAATAGTGTGACCATCACTAATAGCCTTGTTAATCCCAATGCACTCATCGTAGTTGCCAAAGTCTATTTGGTTGCCATAAAGTACACCCTTGGGGAATGTGCCCCATGCATCTAACACTACAAAACTAAAGAAGTCAATTTGAATACTTTGAAGTCCATGTGATATACATACTCTTTAAGGCCCACATGCTTCTCGAGCTAAGCCCACTCATCAGCTGAATCATATCAGCCAAACAGTTGAAATCCTGCTGGCTGGGCTCACGCGTGCTAGGCATATTTAAGTCTGCTGTAGTTATATTCCTGAAGTAATGTGAGAACTCCATGGCAAGCGGACGCAGTTCCATAAATTGTTCATAGCTGTCTAGGGAATCGATTTCATCGAATTCCAGCTCCAAAGAACTGACCATAGCCAGTCCAACTAGCAGCAGCGCTGCTATTATTTTGACCATGTTAATGATTAAATTGATTTCTGAGTATTGGGCCGTTTTGCTAGTAAACAAGTATTATATATGCCCACAAATCCTAACGCCATTCTGATAAGAGTTCAGCTTCGCAGAAAATAAGCGTCTACCTAAAATGTGGCTGATAAGTTTGAAGTACTTGGTTGCTGGCTTATCAACGCGTGCAACCAGTTTCATCCATTTAAAAGTGTCATTGCGATACCCCGTATTAAGAGTGAGGGAAAATGGTCTAATCTACTTATACATAGATGTGATGCAATTCGATAAATATCGATTTTCAGCTGATTTACTTATATTGATGACAGTAAATGTTAAAAATGTTGCTTCGTAACTTAAGAAAATGTATAGCTCTATGCATTTCATTTCGATAAATATCGATTTTCAACTTTCCTTTACTGTGCAAACGTCGAGAAGGAGAAGTGAAAATAGATTCTATAAAACTTAATAATATTATAAAAATATATGGAATTTTTTAAAGTTGATTTATATCGATATATCGAGGAGTATCCTCACAATACAATCACGAAATTGAGAATATTTGAATCTTCGCGTATAACTCTATAAAATGTTACTTACCATTTTGAGCCAAGTACAAGTCATCTATTAGTCGTTCATCCTCGACTCGAGTTCCCTAATTTTCATATCAATTAATGCGTAATCAGAAACAGAGTAAAGTTTATCTAATCTGAACTTGTCGTCATAACTAATCTCTGCATTTGACACTATATAAGTAGTAGGAACTTTGTTATATCAGCGAGCGTCTCGATAGATCAATTGTCTAAGTGGGTTGACTCACTATGCCAAGCGCGTGTTGATTGCGATTTATCTTGGGAAAGTCGAAAGATAACTTTAATCGACAATATTGCTTTTCCATTTGCAAAAATATAAGTCATGTATTTGATGTATTATAACAATAAATCTAATAATATAATAATAATCTAATCTAATAATAAATAATAATAATAGAATATCAGATCAGATTATCAATATAGCCATATCATTCAAGTCCTCGGCAAATCTGCTTTGATTGCTTCTTACTTTTAATAAGGCTAATCAGCAAATCTTTGGTTTGTGATAATCAGACAACTCTTAGTAAACCTGATTACTTTCTATGCAGAAATCAAAGTTCTTCAACTCTTTTTTTTTGGTTAGCTTCTGACTGTTCTTCTAAGTTTTCTATCTCTGGAATTGTTTCTGTTTCTGCAACTTTATTTAGCTGTGGAATTGATTCTGTCTTCGTTTCTTCTGGGACCGTTGATTTTGGAGTAGTTTTGCGTTTTGGCATAAGCATTCCCAGTAGCAGAGCGATGGGCGCTTCCGTTGTGCAGTATATCGCATAACACAACAGCAAGGTGAAGCCAAAAGTCCCCCAAAACCTCAACATCTGCCAAAGAATTATATATTTGAAGGATTGGAAATCAGCTTATTTGAAAAATTCCACTTACCATATCGTAGTCGGAAAAATATGTATTTGTTCGCGCTCGTCTACCATTAATTTGTACAATGAATACGTGAAAGATGTAGGCGGAGTAAGAGATCTTTGACAACGGCTGCCAAATTGGGGCAGACAGGAAACTGTTGGCCAAGCTACCATAGCCTTTCATGCAGGCAAAGACCACCCAGCACAAGCTCAGGGGCCAAGCGATGCGGGTAAACGTATAGTATGAAGACTGTTTTAGTATCGATAAAGACGGACTCGTCAACTTGGCATATGGATACAAGGCAAAAATACATGTGAACATCAGAGCCAGAGACACAATCCACCCTAGGCAGATCTTTATGCGATTCAGCTGAAAGTTCTTGTTACGATTGACATGCAGGAAATAGCCAAAGAGTACGCCGATCAGCCAAGGAGCAGCATGTGTATGCGTGGCATAGTAGATCTTACGTTGGACGTTATTGGAAATAATTCCATACCTGTAAAAAAGTAAACTAGATATAGTACAAAAAAGTAGTTATTCAATAGACATAGACCTACTCCAGATGAATAAAGTACTTATCCGTCATCATAGTGCTGAAGAGGCAAGCGGATAGCAGAAGCATAAAAACAAAGATTCCTGCTGCAGCTTTCTTGCCCCATCTGTACAAAGATAGCAGAAATATGGGAGAGAGTATATACAGCTGCATATCGACAGCTAAATACCAGGTATGATTCAAACACTAAAAGTGGAGAAAACTAATTAGAATTTGATTTCCAATTGAAATGAGATTTTCTCACCAAATCCTTGGTTGCATAGACAGTGGCTCTGTAAATTATAAATTATAATTTAGCCAGCCCAAATCTAAACTCACTATGGAGATAATGCACTATGGAGATAAATGATTATGTGAAAAGATATGGTTAGACCATCAAAGGGTTTACGATCGGAAGTTCTGAAGGTATTTTCTTTAATTAGTTCTGCATTGATATTGAGTCCTACAAGCTCTTGTAGCAATTGTTTCAGAAGCTTATTCATATTAACGGCCGAGCAGGAGACGGGTAGACAGGTAGCCACACTCAGCTACACTGAAGTACTGAACACGGGTATCTTTGCACGGCAGTATTTGTTAGTATCAGTATTTGCCTTGAATAACATAGTTAACCGATATTGCTTTATTAATGGCAAAGCACTCGTCGTAATTGCCCAAGTCCACAAAGTTGTCAGTAAGTATGCCCTTGGGCAAATTGCACCATGCATCGAACACTAGTATCATTAGAAGTCAATTGAAGTTCTCTCTCCTGTTAAGTGCGGACTTACTTTTTATCGACCACAGTTTACCAAAGTCCAGCCCAGCTGTTATCGGACTCATATCGGCGAGACACTGCAAATCCTGCTTGTTGGGCAATCGGCTGTTTGATAAATTCAAGTCGGTGGCTGTTATATTTCTAAAATGCTGTGAGAATTCGTAGGAAAGCGAATGTATTTCCATAATCCTTCGATAAGCCTCAATGGGAATCAAATTAACTGCTTCCAGCTGCAAACAACCGACCAGCCCAAAGTGCAAAAGTATGCCAATGGGTTTGACCATGTCAAATGCGTTGCGAATTTGTGATTGATAAAGTTTTGACAGTTGTAAGCGTTCTTATACATAATAAAGCGATAAGCATGTTGTAATGCAGCTTTAATCAAGAGACGGAAGCAATCGAGCTGATACCATATCAATAATTTAGTTATTTTTCCATATTATTCAATATGAAACTCTTGCTACTCCTTACACACCTATCAGTTAACTGTCTAACTACTATTCTAGTATAAAAGGTCTGTATACTGCTTACAGTCTATCAGCTAGTTGAGCACTCTAAATTAATCGTTTTCCAGTTATTTGCTAATCGCTTATGATTAACTAGCAACGGCTTTTGCGAGTACTTTCCGAAAAACAATTATTAACAATTATTAACAAAAATAACGTCATTTTGACTGGCAGCTTAATAAAAGTATTTCCACGGAGCCAATTAGCAATCTCTTATATTTCAAAAGAAATTATCAAGTGTGCGAAAATTCCCATGTTTCTGTTTATAGTATCAATTGCAATGCTAACTTCGATTAATGAGTTATTTATAGGAAGATAAGTGTATGATGTTTAAGTGTTATATTTATTTATAGTAGGCTTCTTCTACTACGTTCATTTGTATACTCTATAAAATCAATTTATTTAAGAAGGGTGGAATACTTTTCTGCAAGCTTATGTGTTAAACAGAAGAAGGCGTGGCCAAGCATAGAAAGTGTATTTATTTTTTACCTCTATCATTAGATTAGATTACATCCGTTTGTCAGTCCGTTTGTAAGTTGTCACCTTGTTAACAATTACAGGGCACAAGGTACTGGGTACTTGGTACTTGGTACATGGTATAGGGTACAGGGTACAGGGTGCAGGGTACAGGGTACAGGGTACAGGGTACAGGGTACAGAGTACAGAGTACAGAGTACAGCGTACAGGGTACAGGGTACTGGGTACTTGGTACTTGGTACTTGGTACTTGGTACTTGGTACATGGTATAGGGTACAGGGTACAGGGTACAATGGAACAGGGTACAGAGTGCAGGGTACAATGGAACAGGATAGAGTGTACACCGCTAGTGTGTCACTTGCTACTGTATGTCTTTGTCGCAAGGTCTCTTGACTCAATTAGTCGCCTACCCAATAGTAAAACACATACCTTATCTGCTTATGATTATTAGTAATCAAATGTTACGTTTTCCTTGGTGAGTCTATGACTGATTGATTGAATGAATTGAATTCTATAAAAGTACATATACATACATACATACATATTGCGAATGAAAAGCAAATAAATTTGTCAGAGACAATGAGTATATTGATAAATTAAATCTAAATATATTTATATCTATCTATACATAGCAGAATTGGAAGTGTGTATGGAAATGTCGTAGTTAATTAATACTTTTCTTAACTGTTATTAAATCCCCAAATACCTTCAAACACTTTTGTTGCCTGGAAACGTCGTCAGACTTTAAACAAAACGAAAACACAAAACAGTAAAGCCCAGACTCAAAACCAAAACCAAAACCAATATCAAAAGATGCTTTCAATAGAAATTGTGAAAATGTAAATAGAAACGAAAGTCTGCAAAGCAGAAGACAAATTTGAAATAGGCTTTGCATATCCTTCGTTGACTAAGCCGATGTGAAAAGGCGCCCCTTCGATTGGTACTGGCTGGGCTCAAGCGTAATATTATCACAGGCCGCGAAAATCAATAAACATTAATCTTGACGTGATTTCGCCTTTATCCAGCGCCATTTGCGTATTTGCCCGCCGCTGCTGCTGCTGCTCCTGCCAGCTCGATGAAAGATTGAAGTTTAATGGAGGCTGGCGGAGCACAGCGTCAGTTGCCGCCTTGTCAATTATCAGTGTCAATCGAGCCCGATGCCACGTTGTCATTGGGTACACAATCTCAGGCAATTTCAACAGTTGAAAGATGAGCCATAACTAATCTGGCCTACAATTACCAAGCTGCTGCGTGATGCGGCAGCGGCAAAGGATTTCGCCGTCCCTGTTGACTTTCAATCCTGAGATCCATTTGTACAAGGCCGCAAAGTGCTCGCCAACTCAACCGGCTTAGGAGTTGAATTTTGGCCAACGTGTGCAGATAGCAAAGCGCCGAGCTCAACATTTGAAAAATGAAGTTGTTTAAGTTTTGGTTGGAATTGTGAAAACAATTATAGAATTTGAGCTCTTTAGCTCTTCCAAACTAACTCAGCTAATGCCTGTACAGAGTCTTAGAGAGTAGCTGAGATTAGATAAAATTCTAATTTCCATACCACATTTTAATATCTTTTGCCTCTCGTTTAAATGTTCATTAAGTTTCCGTTTTTCTAATGATTGTTTTGACCTTTAGTCAAACTATTTACGTTACTTTAATTGTTAACTTTTTAATGCCCTTTGATGATGGGAATTCATTAAGGCATTCATCAAACGTTGTTTATCATTAACATTTCATATAAACACATCGGCTAAGTGTCTTGGGCTAATTCACCGCAAAAGCTTGAGGTAATTTGAGATGGCTCCCATGTGGAGCAGACGGCGTATCTAGGCGCTTTGTTGTGTCACCTTCAACAATTTCATAATTAAACTTTTGCACAAAGGACGTGGATATTTACCTTAAAGAATTCTAATTAAATCATTGAAGAACTTTCTCAGGACTTTCTGCTGATTCATGTGTCCTGGCAGCTGCTACTTTTCCAAGCTGTGCCAAAGTTTTCTGCCTCGAGTCGCAGAGCCTAAGGAATTTGCTTGATTTGTATACCCTATAAAATGTCTGCAAGGGTAAGCCACACACATGTATAACTCACATGTGCTGGCATCTCAATCCCTGACATTGATATTGGGCTTCAGTTCAAAATCTTTGCATTGGTTTGAATGTATCTTCAGTGCCTTAGGCACGGGTTCGAACCGTGAACAGTTTGCACTGGCTTCGAGTTGAGCTGAGTTGAAATTTGAATCTATACTCTTGGTAAGAGTTCGAATTACACCTTTTCGCATGCATTTGAGTTCAAGCAAAAAGCTGGGCAATAGTTGGAACACAATAGCCGACTTTTTAAATGCCCTTTCATTGCCATTAGGGTAACTGCGAGTTTAGCAATTGAATTCTACGTCTTTTGCCTTTTCTCTTTTTAGGTAAGAGAGAGAGAGTGAGTTTTTTCTGTGTCGACTAATTTGTGGTGTTTGCTTTGGACTTTCGGCTTCGGCCGACGCTCTTTTAGCTTATGCAAAGCCCTACATGTGCCGCAGCTCGAGCCTGAGCCGCTGGGCGGCCGCCAGTGCGTCGGACTTTGGCTTGGAACGGATTGCGGGGCCTACAGTGAGGCAGCCAACAGGCGTATCAGTATTTCACGTCGCCACGCCACGCACGCACACACAGATACCATGCAAGATTCATAGAGTCATAAATCTTTAAGTATTGAATACCATTTTTGCATATACTACATAAGTAAGAACTCACGCCGAAAACTTTATCCGGTCGAGCCTCCACTTCTCAATGGCTCCACCCCCTTCCACATTTCAACTCTCTGCTTGAGGTGAAAGCAAACAACATGGCGCCGGAATACCAACGCAACGGCGGCGGTGGCGGCAGCGGCAGCGGCAGCCTATGTACACTCGGTCAAGCACATTGGCTGCCAATTTAGCGTAGGGTCGTCGTCAAGTAGGGTTGTCGCTCGTTTGCTGGCCAGCCAGCACGAGCCCGAAGCTGCCCAAAAATCCACCAAAATAATGTTGTAACTATACACACACATAAGTCGAGGCCCGCATATAGGCACACATATGCTTGCACACACACACACACACGCACACTCGGCGGCGCAGTCATTGAAGCATTCGAATTCGAGGGCCATACTCGCATTCATGAAATGGAATAACTAATGACTTTATGCTAGAAGCGTGTTTTGTTAATTGCATTTGCTAAAAACGAGCCACAGCTGTAATCGTGGTGGGTTAAGTTTGGTGGGCCAAGTCCGAGTCGGTAGCTGGCTATATACATATACATATATATATATAATTCGAGCTCTGGGCAACTTGGTAGCGCGTTTGCTCTTCTGGCATCGTGAGTTCAACTTGTTATGGTTATGGAGCATTAAATGCGAAAAAAATTTCAATAGACGCTGCTGCGGCCACCAAACTTAACGAAATGAAAGGAAGCCAAGCGGCAAAGCCCATAGATACAGCAACCACAACCGCAGTTAGAGCGACAACAGCAGCAACAACAACAAGTCGAAGACCGCGGCTAATGAAACCGCAGTCGAATCGGAAATGGGAATGGGCAACTGTGAGTGGGAATGGGGTAAGCCAGCTGGAGAATAAGATGAAGAGAAAATCGCTTCTCAAGTAGCTGCCAACCTAAGCGTTGCGCTGCGTTGCACAGTGGGCAAAAACCATGAATTTGTTATGAGAATCGATAGCACGAAAGCAACGTCGACAAGCTCATCGCAAACCATAAGTAATTGTATACTATATTTACTTATTTATAATCATATCAATTAATTAACTTTTTTCGATGAGAAAATCGATAAGCGATAACTCTAATATGTAGAGCAATTAAAATTTTCGATAATTTTTATAATTAATTATCATATATAAGTTCATAACACCCACTAGTTAAGCAAACACTATTAAACGACATTGATTATCGATAACAAAATATATCGATTTCAGTTGATTTCATGCAAATATTTCTAATCGATTTATTTATGAAGCCTCAGTTGTTAAGCTTACAACTAATATCACGCAAAGTAGTAGCAATCGATTTATTTCTTATCGATAACCGATAAGACTAAGAGATTTTAATACACTTACACAAAGTGAGATATAATTCTGAGAAAACAAAATTCAAAGAGCTTAAAAAATATATGAAAATTAATTTCAGTTGAATATTTAATCTATGAAATGTATTTTGAGCCACTGTGCATCACTAACGGCTAACTGAGTATCTTTTTGGCC